CTGGGGGGGAAAACTTGCAGAAAGCCATAAGCCGTTTGCTACTCGCAGAAAGCCATAAACCATTTGCTATATAATATACATATAGTATCTATAATATCATAAGATACTGTTAATAACCTTGATGAGAAAAAAAAGGCGAGACAAGGACCTACATGAGCGTTGGCTTGCACAGTATCCACACGAGCTTTCCCTCACCTTGGCATTGTGGGCAGTATTTTATTTACGGGCTCACAGCTCCTAGGACAGCTGATGGGAATATAAATTAAGCAGAGAATTTTCAATTTTCTAGAGAAAAGAAGATCGAGGGGGGATCTTATTCATACATACAAATACTTAATGGGAGGATGCCAGGGGGATGGGAGCAGTCTTTTTTCAGTGGCGCCCAGTGATAGGACGAGGGGTAATGGGCATAAACTTGAACATAGGAAGTTCCATCTTAACATGAGAAGGAACTTCTTTACTTTGAGGGTAGTGGAGCACTGGAACAGGCTGCCCAGAGAGGTGGTGGAGTCTCCCACTCTGGAGACATTCAAAACCCGCCTGGACGCTGTCCTGTGTAACGTGCTGTAGGTGACCCTGCTCTGGCAGGAGGGTTGGACTAGATGATCTCCAGAGGTCCCTTCCAACCCTAACAATTCTGTGAATTCTGTGTGAATTCTGTGAATTCTGTGAGATGCCTGAGACAGGTCTTAAAGGAGGGCAGCCCTAGAAAACACAGGACGTCTGAGATGGGCGAGTATTGAATAATCAGAAGTTGTCCAAAAGAAAAAAAACACCACCCTGGGTTTGTAAATTCTTAGGAAAAAGCAGGAAAGCAGCCCAAGGTGTGATCCCGCTGCAGCAGAAGAGCATCCCGCAGGGAGAAGTCTGGCTTTGCAAAATTCATGTTCCTAAACAATGGTGTTGGGGAGGTCGGTGACATGGGGGAGGTACAGCTAATAATAACAAATACCGCCAGAGTTATACCTTACATAGATAAAACTGCCGCTGGAACTAGCTTTCTGAGAGCCTAGCGTAAAGCTTTTGTTTAATTTATGGGGCTCAGGCTATATTTAGCCAGCAGATCCTTGGGGTTTTATCTGGGATCGCTGCTCCGAGCCAACAGCTGGAACATTTTAATTGTTTGCCCTGGGTTTGGGGTTTGGTTTGGGTGGGGTTTTTTTTGTTGTTTTTGGGGTTTTTTTTTTGCCAAATGGTGAAAAAAGAAAGCAGGTTCTAAGGTCGGACCCCGCTGGTCTCCTGACACCCTCGGCAGCACCTGCCGGGGCAGGGAGGGCAAACAAGCCTCGGGGAGGCTCTCTGCCTCCCGGGGGATTTTCTGGGGAGGTGCTGGGGGGCTTCACAGGGCAAACCCTGTTCTCTAGCCCGGCTGCGACCCCGTGTTCATCCCCAGCCCCTGCCAAAGGGCAGCGATCAACGTGCGAGAGCACAGGATGGGGACACAAACACACACATCACCACATGCTGTGTCTCCCCATCCTCGGGTTGCTACAGCGATTTAAAAATAACCCGGGCTATCCGGCTGGAGAGAGCATCCCCTTCTTCCAGGAAAGTGAGAAGTGCTGCTCCAGGCCTGGGAACGTGCCTGCGTTCGGTGGCGGGGGGCGGATTTATTTGTTAGGAAAGCCCTTCGGTGTCTGCCTGGAGCGTGGATGTGAGAGGAGCCATCTGCTCAGGGACAGGCGGTGTTTATGCCGCCGCGCCAGCCCGGGCAGAGACGTGCTCCGCGGGCGCCTGGTCCCCAGCTCCCATCGCTCGGCCCCGGTGATGAATGCAGCCAGCTCTGTTTAGGAAAACACCCGCTCCGCCGTGCTGGGATCTCCCACGGCAGCTCGGGAATATCCCCCGCCGCAGGGTGGCAGTGGGAACAGCCATGTGCCCAGGGACCAGAGTCTGCCGGGATGTCCCTGCCGTGTGGGGCACCGGGCACACCCCCAGCCCCTCTTTGGAGATGTGCCCCGGTTTGGGGGGTGCCACAGCAAGCAGGTGTTTTGGGGGTTCCCGCTCCACCACCGGCACTCGGAGCTGCAGGGACCACTCGATGGGCTCAAGCGAAAGTGTTGGCGAGTTGATGAGACTGAAAGCAGGCAATTAAAAGCAAAATGAAGCACTTTGGCCATGCACAACACTCCCAGGCATCTTTGACCCAGCACCCAGGGTGCTCCTCGACCCCCTGTGCTGACCAGAGCGGACGTGGTGTTGGGAATAAAGGGAAAACTTTGGAGAAGGACAAGAAAAAACAACTATTTTCAACCTCACTTCCACCCCCACCCCCCTTTTTTTCTTTCTTTTTCT